GACCTCTTTGTTTGAAGCTCTCAGTTTCTCCAGTTCATGTATGAGAGCCTCATTTTTGCTCCTCTCAGCCTGCAGCTCCACAGCAAACCTCTGCTGGTTGAATCTTTGAGCCTCCTGCAGCTCCTTGTAACATCTGTGGAGGTCGYTCTCCTGGCTCTGCTTGGTGGTCTCAGTGAGGATCTCTGCGGTGCTGAGGGCCTCCTTGTCTTCGTCCCAAACCTCAGACTGGTGCATTGTGTCATTGAAGTCACCCTCCTCAGGCTGCCATGTATCTRCATCCCTGTCACAGTTGTTTTGTTCCCGAGGATGCACTTTGGCCAACTTTGCATTGGCCTCATCTAGCGCCTCGCAAAGAGTGAGTCTCAACTGTCGTTGTTGGCGACCGCGGGCCCTCTCCTTGTCCAACAGATGTTCAAGATATTTGACATCTCGTTGAAATTTCCGGCAATCCTTGCAGTTGTAGTGAACTTTATGTTCTCCGTTGTTGGCCATGACAAACAATTTGACTCAGGAGCAATCTTAGCTGTTTGTTGCTAGTTGAAGTCTTTTCCTACTCACAATGGTTCGCTACACGCTGACCAGTTGGAAATGATGTGAGTAGGAAGCTGCGGTCTCATGTATATGTAATGTTCAACATTAAAGCCATTTAAGCAGAGCCATCAGAGCCATCAGAGCCATCAAAGCCATCAGAGCCATATGCGTGTGTGTGTGAGTGTTTGTGTGTGTGTGTTTGTGTGTGTGTGTGTGTGTGTTTGTGTGTGTGTGTTTGTGTGTGTGTGTGTGTGTGTGTGTGTGTTACTACCTGTGCATGAAATCAATTGTTTAATCAACGTGCTTTAAATAATATGCACCTTTAATAAGATTGCATGCTCTGTTTGTTTGCATGTTTGTACTGAAGGTCATTACCACAACAAAGAATGTGCATTATATCTAATAACCTATTTCCATATGAAAGTACAAATCAAATGTAGCTCCCACACCTCATTAAACCAAAATAATCTTCCTATTTCTGTTTCTCTCTCAACATAAATAAACTAATACCCTCTTTGGTGCAGCCCAGTAGCAATGATCCATATGAAGGCAGGAATGTGAGAAAGACTGGCTCATAAATTGTGTAACCTTCCCGTACTGGTACAAATATATAATTACACACACACACACATATATATATTTGTGTGTGTGTATGTGTGTGCGTGTGTGAGGTACAAGACAATGCCTTTATTTCTTTTTTATATTTAAGATCAGTTTTTATATCTTTCATCCCATTATTACTCCAGATTTTTACAATCGAAATCGAAAACTTAAAATAACAAAACAGTACCTAAAATATAGTAAAATTAAATAGAAAAAAGATAAATATATATATAGAGAGAAGTAACTGAACATATTTAGAGTATATTTTGGGTAGGAAAAAATATATATTTCAAAAGCATTTCATTCACTTTTTCTTCACATGGTGAATTAATAATTTTGACTGTTTCCTACTTGCAGTCAAAATTATTTTTAACAAATATTTGTGTGTAGTTAATTTGCTTGAGTGGACGTTTTTTGAGAACGTAAGTTTACCAAGTCACCACTAGATGGCGTAGCGACCTTTCTAACAGATCAACGTGCAGCATCTTTGCATCGATCAGGGAGGAGACGCTTTAAAGTGAAACTCTTAAATCCAGAGACCTGAGTGGAGTGAAAGGGATAGTTTACCCAAAATATAAATTCACTCATTATCTACTCACCACTATGGAAGTGGGGGGGGGTGTGGTCACCAGTTACCTCAATTATATGCGTGGATTTCATTTTTGTGTGAACTATCCCTTTAAAGTACAAGTTGATGCTTGATATGAGATGTTTTCCCCAGAAATCATCACATCCTGGTGACACAAACACACACACACACACACAGAAGAGAGAGAGAGAGAGAGAGAGAGAGCTCATGGTGAATACGGGCTCCCTGCAGCTCCACTGTAACCCTAACCCTATGACACGGTCTGACCTGGAGCCGGTATCCTTTGGAAGAATATTTATATGAATATTGTCAATGGAGGTGGAGAGTTAAGCCTCAGAAGCCTCTTTTTGAAACATCAAAACCGGCACAGGCGCATTCCTTTACGCGCGTAACCAAGCGCACTTCAACAACGTGAACTCGGCCAAACAGCTCAGAGTGCGGCTCAGTGGACAGTGGAAACCGGGGAAGTTAGTTTAAGTGAAATTTTGAATTAGCACATTTACTTAAAATCAAATTGTATTAATGGAAACGTCCCGTTTTCTGTCTGTTCTGCAGCTCAAACGTGGTAAAACAACCAACAGCAGAGCACCAATAGACAATATTGCTGGTTTTATTCTCCGAACACACTTCCTTCACAGAGCAGGATGTTTCATCATAACTTTATGAATCATATATGTTATCAACATGGTGCAGGGGAAACTGATAAAGTGCTGGGCTTGCGTAAAGAGGTTTTTTGGGGTTCTTGTGTTTACCTCTGCATCTCTCTTTACGTAACGCATGTTGTGTAGAAATGACATGTTGAGAGACGCAGGATCTGGAGATGGGATCTGTGCTGACGACGGTGGGAGCAAACTCCACCCAGCAGATAGGATCTGCAGGCGGGCGGAGCGGAGGGCAGCGTGCGCCCACAGGGCTTGGGGCTGGTTGGTCGGGACGCCTCCTGACAAGTCCCGCAGAAAACTTCTGAGGGGCAAAGTCCAGCCTGTGCGCCACGGAGACGGCGTGGTGGAAGTGTATGTGTGTGAGCTTGGAACTCATGTTGCATGGTATTTGAGAGAAATGCTCCAAAGATGGCGGTGGTAGTCGCGGTTTCCTCTGGAGTGCCAAAAAGTGGATTCGTGGAGGTGTTGGTGCGGGAGCAGTGGCACAAAGTTTTGGCCAACTTAAACGAGGAAGCGCTCACACTGAGCTGCGAGGAGAGCGACGGCGTGTGCGACAATGTCAACACCAACGGTGTCACGAACGGATCCTACCTGGACAACAACAACACCAACTCCAACAACTGCCCCCACACCGTGCGCACCGCGTTCACGGACCTCCCGGAGCGAGTGCCCGAGGCAATCGCCAACAGAAAGCGGTGCGTCAAGGTGAGCAAGCAGGAGATCGGCGGGCTGGGGATCAGCATCAAGGGTGGCAAGGAGAACAAAATGCCCATCCTCATCAGCAAGATCTTCAAGGGGCTCGCAGCGGACCAGACCCAGGCTCTGTACGTCGGGGACGCCATCCTGTCCGTAAACGGCATGAACCTGCGGGACGCGACCCACGACGAGGCGGTGCAGGCGCTGAAACGTGCTGGGAAAGACGTGACTCTGGAAGGTAGGTTGGGCTGGAGAGACTGGGTGTGACAGGATGACAGAAGCAGAGTGTGAATCCTAAACTTTTCCCATATGCACTTATTCTTATAGAGCCAACCAGGTCTTGTTTCAGGAAGCATACCTGGACAGATAAGAGTTAAGGTCTATTATGTCATTTTCTGCATCAGAACTTCTTGACATATGTTGTATATTTTGTTACATTATCACATTTTTTGCAGCAAGCCTATAGAAATCCATCATTTTATTCAATAGTAAGGTTGTCTTCTTTGGTCGCCTGTCAATGGCTTCATACCTATATGTGCACTTTGCCTTTCGCTTGCTAACTTCTGACTATGGCCTCTATTTACTGTATGTCTGATCTACTGAGTGGGCCACATGGCTTTCCTAGTACTGCCATACAAGCCAGTAGCCAGTCAGATTTACCTATAGCCTCAGCGTCTCATGTTTGGCCTGTATCATTGATTAAAGGTCAAAACACTTGATGGAGCTAAAGTGCACAGCTTAAGTTATGTCGCGAACATCCGCTGATATTCTCCATCTTGTCCTATATTCTGAAAAAGGCTGAAGACTATGCTCATGTGCAGTGAGAGCACAGGCAGGGTGTACACAGGCAGGCAGGTGGGTTAGTGACAGACAGGTACACCTGCAAATTTCATTCAGTCTGAATGCAATGATTGGTCATGTTTATTACAGTGCAGCAAGAGCCACAGACACCTGCCTTTTTGTTTTTCTTTTCCAGAGCAACTGACTCAGAAGATTGCATTCTCACATACAGCCCCTCTGGAAAATGATGTCATTAGAATTTCCAGACTACAGTGCATGTTTAAAAGCAGCTAAAGTGTTTGTCACTGCCTGATTGGACGAATAGAATAAAAAGTAGGTCTGATTGTTGAGGCCTGGGAATGAAAACCTGCTGTAGGTTGTGATTTATTTGTCTATCATTGAAAGTAGCCTCTGATTAATAAAAAAAGAGCTAAGAAAAGAGATGTGGCATTATTTTCTTCCATCTGCTTTTTGTATTAATATCTTATTTCATGAAATGTGTTTTCTTATTAATCTACAAAATTGGTTGTTTGCCATTCAGTCTCGCTTTCTCTCAGGGAGCCAAAGTGAAAAAAAGAATTGACACTTCTTTCTGGCATCTCAGCAAATGCATTTCATTTCCAGCAGAAGAAGGGAGGAGGATGTATTTAAAGTGTGTGTGTAATGTGACTGTAATGCTGTGGGGACGCACTCGCTTTGTGCAATAGAGGGAAAATAGGAGGCTGACTGGAGCTTTTGGTTCAAAAGAACAATTTGGATTTCTAAGGAAAACAGTTATTATTCAGCCAGAGGTACCATGGGAGAAAGAAGCCAGATCAAACCTTTACCTCCTGGTGCACTAATCTAAGTAAGAGCTCTCAACTCACACCCAAGGAGCACTGCGGCAAAGTTGGTGTTTTGAAGATGTATTTACCCAAAAGTGAGGATGGCAATTAAAGCTGATGGAGGCCAGATTCCACTGTGATGGCTGAACATCATTTCCACACAGGCACGCACGCTTGCCCGCACACACACACATATACAGACACAAAAACACACACACACACATGAACACATGCCGATGAGCGTTCCCAGGGGGGGTACAGGGGCTACACTGCAGAGAGGAAAGCAGGTCCCAGCTGTAAACTCACCAAGATAAGACAGAGGGAAAGAAGGAAGGGCCCGGGCACCATGGAGTAGAGAGAGAAAGAAAAGGGAGGGGGGTGGAGCTGAAATGCGAATTTAATGGTCTAATTGCTGAGAAGGGGAGAGAGGCAGCGGAAAGAGACAGAACTAGAAGGAGAGATAACGAGGGAGGCTAAAAGGCTGATTTACAGGTGACAGTACAGGTGGATTTGGGGGTAAAATTGTATTTCACCACTACTATCTGCATTTGGGAAAGCAGCGAAACAAAGAGGCAGAATAAAAAATGACATTAAGGTGCATTGTCTGTGGATTTCATGGGTCTCTGCTGGTGTGAAAGGTACTTAACGTGTGACCGAGCACATTAACGTTCAAATAAAAAGACGTGAGCAGTGAGGTGTAAAGTCTAAAAATGCATTTTCTTTATTTCTGAGTGTGCGTCACCGTCTAAGATGTGAAAGAAGCAGAGTGTGGTACATAAGGAGGGAGATCAGGAGGAAACATCTCAACTGTAATAGATAGTACACGTCTCTTGGGAGAGGACAGGAGTGTGCGCCTGCGTGCATTTGTTGTGTTTTTCAGTGGTTTGTGTTGTAAGTGTGTCCCATTAGGAAGATGGTAGACGGAGTCAGCTAAGATATATTGGGACCACTCACTCCCACCTGATGCAGGCTGTAAGAGGGCAACAAATTGACGCACTGGTAAAAAAAAAAAAAAACATTCTCCAAACAAAGCACTGGGGTTCAAGCTCTCGTGTCAGAGATGCAGACTCAGTGGTTGTGTTCAGTGGCTCTGCGTGCAGTCTGACAAGCCACATGTAAATTCCCTTTAAGGCTCGATCAAGCCTCTGCAGCTGCAACACAAAGCTCCTACATGGCAACCACATCCAGTGCCAGTTTGGTGGTCCAGAGAAAGATTTGTAATGTATGAAAAATGCCTTCAATTATGAGCTAATGGAAAGAAACAAACACTTTGTTACAAGTTTGTACTCGTAGAGGCTCCAGCCAATCATATCCAAACAAACATAACATTTCATGTGGTGGACACTTTTATTCAAAGCTACTTACAATTAGTGGATTCAACTGAGGGGCCATTAGGGGAAGACTGAGGATTGAACCGCTGACCTTCTGGTTAGAGGATGCCTGCTCTACCCCTCAGCCACAGCCACCCACGAACACTGGTGTTAGCCAATTAAATCATAATAATGTGAAAGCAGAGGCAACTGGCTAACCTGGTGTTTGTTCATTCGGTTTTGTCAATTTTCTTACCTGTGTATTTCTCTTTAGCTTTGTATTGATAGGTAGCATGACACATTAGCATAAAAGCTGGCCATGTGATTGTTGTCAATGTGATGATTGCGCTGGCACCAAGCCTCAGGCAGGTCCACCATCAAGAGTTACTGCAATGTACACACATGAGTCCAGCGTAATGCAATCACTGGAATTGCTTCTCTTCGGCAATGTGTCTGATGTAAGATGGTAGTGATGGTGATGCTACTTGCCTTGAGTGGAACCGAGTCTTTGCAAAAGTCAGTTTTAAAAAAGAACTTCTCACAGCACCAGGTCATCATGCAAACTTCAGTGCATGTCTCCACAGAATGGGAAAATCCTCAGGACATAATTACAGTTAATAGAACTGGAGCAGAGGGAGCTTGTTGTTGCTTTGCAGCTCAGAGATTTTTTTTAATTTTATAGTTTGTCAGGCACATCAGCTGGGTCTTCATTAAATTTAACAAATATGTTCAGGTCCTTTTGTTTACTATTCATGGCATGAAACTTCTCACCAGATTCCTGTTAACTCACCATTATTTACATGTCATAGAAAGTCTTTTGTTCTTGCAGAGTAGGAAAATGCAGCGTCACCACTTTCAAGTCTCCCCCTGCCACAGCATGCATGACTTTCAAAGACAGCCATTCCTTCCTCGTATCAAATTCGGCAGTAATCCTATACACGCAAAAATGTCTAGTTGGGCTGTTTCTGTTATGTCTCTTGTTTTACTACAGGACAGAGGGGGAAAAAAACAGGAAACATCTTTTCCTTCAGTGTTTTTTCAGTAACGTGTTAGTAATCTGCTCTGTCACAGCAGTTTGTGAAAGACTGACAGTCACTCACCAGATTCAGCAGCTTTACAGTAGGAACAAGCCTCTACAGAAATTCTTGAATTAGTTCAACTTCTTAGCTATTAGCTCCCTCGCCACAAAACTTGCTTACATACAGTAACATTGCTTCTGTCAAAGTGTGGTCTTGTAAAATCTGCTTGTCAAACTCATGTTTCCAGTTGCAATGCAACCACAACCCTACAAACTAGGTACTCTGGCTTGTCTTTCACTTCAAATTATGTTGCAACACCCGACATAATGCAGGTTCCTTATTTCAGATTTACTTTTAGCCTTAGTGCAAGGCCAAAACACTAGATGATGCAAAGGTGCACAACTGAAGTTATGTCACTAACATCCATTGGCCGCTAACACCTGCTAACATTTAATGGTAGTTGGTAACTTAATTTGTGCAGAAGACAAACTTACAAGGGATATTCACCATCTTGTCAAATGATTAATTTTGCTAGTCGACTTTATCAGCTATAGCTAACGTTTCAGCTTATTTATTTTCAAACAAGAACCTGTAAATAGAATAAAAGGCATTTTTTACCATTACTCTCTACAAACATGGATGACACATCTCCACCTCCTCGAACTATGTGTTTGTGGTTTTGGGAAGGTTCATAAGAAAGACACTCCAAACTCTATAGATGCAGATCATACAACCCAAAGCACAACACATAAATATGGAGAATTCCAAAACTTGAAAGACCTGCTATGCCCAGTCCTGGCTGCTCAGCTTTGTCAATCAATCTCAAGACCCACATTGAAATGGTGGAGAAGCTTTTAATCAGAATGGATACATGTGATATCTTTGACGTAGACAGTGCATGTTGGACATCCGAGTATAGGGGAGATTTGACACCAGATGTGTTTTGGTGCAGCCACAGAGCAAGACAAGTCCAAATAGTCTCAACAAGGAAGCAGAAAAAATCAATAATGAAAAGTCAGAGACGAACATCTGCCAAACTACAGTAGACAAGAAATGACTCAGCTCTCCTGTTGAGCCCTTAACAAGCTATACCTTTTATCACCTGACATCTGGATGGCTGTGCGTGTCGATGAGCATGTGTCGACTTGAGCATATTGATGGGTGTAATCAGTTGTACTCTGTTGCAGTCTAGACTGCTGCCACAGTGAAAATGTGGACCAGTGTACGAGAGACAGATCATCTACTGTATGCGTCTACCAGCTGACTGTTTATGTCATTAGAACAGCTATCATCTCCTCTGCCACT